TAAATTGCTGAGGATGGCCTCAAACACGGTGGCCTGTACCACTTTACCTATATGGACTTTTGAAATACCTGTAGAGGGCAGACATTAAGAAGGCAATGTCAGGGGCTGGGGATGTGACTCAGTGGCACAGCGCTTGCCTGGCATGTGTGAGGCACTGGGTTTGATCCTCAGCACCACATAAAAATAAATAAATAAAAAATAAAGGTATATAAAAAAGAAGGCAATATCAAATTCTGTTTGTTTAGAGAAGTGAGGAATTTGCATAATGTGGCTTCTTTCCATCTTTAAAATTGATTCTGGTACTTGGTACTCCTAGTGAGGGTAATATACTCATTTATGTTGTGACATATTTCTATGGGTAGAGTCTCCCTTTTAAGATGAGTTACAAATACTGATTGGGAAGATCTAGACCTCAGGAAGAAGGAAAAAGTGGCCATGGTTGGCAAGTCTTGGTGGGAGTGGTAGGAGCAAGGGAAATTTAAGTTTGGAAGCTCCATCTTTAGCTTTTGTTCTTTGCTGGTAGCTCTAGCTCCTCCTGTCCACTGACTCTAAAAAGAAGCATTTGTTCTTCATGTTCTCAGGAGATGAATATCCCAATGTTTTCTTTATCCAAGATAAAGGTGAGAGAGACTAGTAGCAGGTTAACACCTTACTTCATCCAAGAAGTAACTAGGAATGAAAACTAATACAAAAAATACTAGGAAGGAAATTTTGAAACACTATCAAAGGGTATAAGAGAAGTCTTTCATATAATGAAAGATAATGTCTTATATGACATTCAAATTAAGTTTTCTGTTCAACAAAAACCTAATAGACAAAGGTAATGGATACACTATAATAAGAGAGAAGAATTTTCTATGCTTGCCATCAAAAAGGGAGTGATATCTAAAATATACAGGGAACGCTTACAAATCAACAAGAACAAAAGTCCAAAGCCCACTAGAAGAATGGACAACTAATATAAGTAGTGAAGTTATAAAAGGGAAACTCCAAGTGGCTGAAAGTGTATGAAGAAAAATGTCAATTAAAACAATGAGATAATCCTCCAAAGGTTGGCAGAGTCAAATTTGGATAAGAGTAAGTCTGGCAAAGGAAGATTTATTCACCTACGTGAGAAAATAAATTCGTACAGTCTTTGTAGAGAGCAGTCTGGCAGTAGTTAGTAAAAGTTAATACACTTGTCCTTATAGTCCAGTGGTTCTACTCTTGGGTAAATATTCCAAAAATATATATTTCACAAAAAATCATTGAAATGATGTGGATGAGGTTTCTTGGTGCTGTGATGTCTATTTACTGAGAAACCAGAGGCAATTTAGGGGGCCATCAATGGAGAAATGAATAAATAAAATGTGTGGATACACACTCTGGAATACCAGTTGGAAACAGGGGCTGCACATGGTGATGTAGACAGTTGCAAGACCATAATGCTGAGTGAAAGAGTAAGAGAACCATCCCTATAAAATCAAATACCTATACACACTAAATAATACTCCATGTTTTACAAGGTGCATGTATATTCAGAAATACGTATCAAACATATACAGAGTACAGCTGTGGCCTATGGCAGGGGTAGAGATGGTGGCGAGGGAGTGAGTGGCAGCGAGGCAAGGACACAGATGAGGACAGGCATGCACGCGCATGCGCATGCGCACACACAGAAACTTGTATGGAGCAGTGATCACTTTCATTAGACTGAGAAATGTGAATACAAACCTTTTTTATCTGAGCTAACAAAAGCCTTCCGCCTTCCTTCTTCTACAGAGATTCGTATTTTAAAGAATACATTTTCGATTGTGAATTTCACAGCATCAGCCAATGATTTGTGAAGAAGTTTTATTCACTCAGTCAACAAAAACTTATTTATCCTCCACTCTATGCCAGGCACTGATCTAGGTGCTAGGGATGGGACAGTGAACGAGGTAGCAAAAGCCAGCCTTTTGGTTGGGGATTCTTGTTAGCCCTTCCTGGTATCAGACTATTTATTTATTTATTTTTAATTTTTATTATTGGTTGTTCAAAATATCAGACTATTTAAATTGCTCCATATATCTAACATCAACCCTGGGGACCATCTATGGGGAGCTTGACAGTGGAGTGCTGGGGTGGACCTTTATCTGGGGTGGCTGTAGAAGGGACTTGAAAATTCACAAGGAGACAACTGAGAGGAGGCCTGTTGTGATCTAAAGGTTTTTAGCACACGTCTTCAGTTGTATTTTCAGGAGCAGCTGTGTTAAATTGACACTCTCTCCTGACAGCAAATACTTTTGAGACTCCTGCTATAACTGTTCAGAAATCCACAAACAGTCCCAGAGCAGATTTTCATCACTTTAGTGAGTTTTAGCCCAGCTCACAAAAACCTAAGGTCTTGGCTTTATTAATTCTATCATATTAATAAGTGATCCACTGGGGCACTTAATAAATGAGAGACATATTGCAGCATTTTAAGACTGCTGTGTAAATTGCTGGCATTTTATTTTTGTTTCATAGCTACTTATCTCTCTTTGGGAACACTAAAGAAGCTAGTAAGTAGGATCAGTTCAAATACCAACTTTGGATGTGCTGCAAAGGCAATCCCTGAATTACTTTCATGTTCCCAAAGGCAGAAAATTATATAAATTTGTAGATCTACTTATTCCTTCCATATGCTTTACCACATCTTTCATATGCATGTAGCACTGATGCGAGAGTTGGCTTTTCAAACATTAGAGACTTCTCTCAAAACATACAAATCAATGATGCAAAAATTTATTTTCCCATGGGAATAAAGTTATGTATGTTTGTTAGTTTCACAGACAAACCAACATATGCCTATTTAATCCACAAAATAGTTTGAATCTAGTGCTAATATTATTATATAGAGCTCTGGGCAAAAATGATCATAGTGCATACAATAAGAAATTGGGTAAGAAAGAATCTCCTCATTTTTTCTTGGGCTCATGAACAACCCCAAGAAAACATTTGGTACAGGTCTATATTTCTTTTTTTTTTAATTTAGAAAAAATGATTTTATTTTTAATTGGCAGGTAAATAAATATGATGTATATATATGCATATGTTGTATAACATGATATTTTGCTATGTATATACATGGTGGGATGGCTAAATAGAGCTAATTAATAATTAATATATTTATTTCCTGTGTGTGTGTGTATGTATATATATATATATATATATACATATATATGTATATATATATATGTATATATATAGTATGTGTGTGTGTGTGTGTGTGATGTGTGTGTGTTTGTATGAGTGAGAACACTTAAAATCTATGCTTTGAGGGCCAGGTTGTAGCTCAGTGGTAGAGCACTTACCTAGTACGTGTGAGGCACTGGGTTCAATCCTCAGCACCAAATAATAAATAAATTAAATAAAGGTATTATGTCCATCTACAACTAAATAAAAATCTACACTTTGAACAATTTAAAAATATACAATGTATTGTTATTAACTATAGTCACCAGGATGTACAATAGATCTTTTGAGTATATTCTTCCTTCTAAGTGAAATTTTATATCCTTTGATTAACATAGGATACAAATCTTCTGCCCCCAGGCCCTGCCAACCATCGAGTTAGAGGTTTTTAGAGTCCATGTTTAAAGTGGGATCATGTGGCTCTACTTAGTCTCATCTTCCCTTTTTGATCTTTCTCCTAAGGCCACCTTCCTAAGTGTTCAGGATCCGGTGCTGTTTTGGCCCTTCACTTTGTCACCTCTCTTAGGTGTGTGCTATCTCTAAAATGGTCAAGATTTTACAATACTTTGAATCCCCCTTTCCATTTCTTTAACACTCCTAATCTTAATTAGTTGTGAGAAGAACAATTGGATCCAACTAATTTTCATGAATTCATTCATATTCCTTCCCTTAGCAGTAGAACTTTCATTTTGATAGTGGTACTTGCTCCCTGCTCCCACTCCTTGGCAGAGTTGCCAGTCTAGTTTTTAGGTGTTATTTAGAATTCAGCAAATTTTTAATAATGTAAAATTAACATGCAATCACTTTGATTTCTCTTCTTCAGTTATTTATCTATATAAGTAAGAGTTATTCTAAGATTACTTGGAAATAGATTTTGAGACTTGCATAGATAGAATTTCAAGATGAATTACTCTCTCTATATATTTTTTATTAAGAATACATGTAAAGAAAATGATTAGATTGTTCAGTATTAGTTTTCCAAGCTTAAATTGATATTGGTCATAGGCCATGAGTAAAAAATTTTATATTTTCATCTATCAAAATTGTTTTAACCACTTTAAAATAGTACAAGAGTGAAAAAAAGGAAACACTGATTAGATTAGCTAACACTGTTATTTGAAAAACATAAGTCTAGCTTAGAATTCAGCATTTATTTTCTAAAAATGATATGAAATTATTTTAAAAATTGGAATGATATCCAAGTTGTCATTATTGCTTACTTGAATGTATCGGATATAGGATATGGGTCCTTTATTTCTGGTCACTTCTAAAAAGATAAGAATCTATGAAGCTGGTAGGAAAATGAGTCTGTAACCAAAATGCTTACTCAGTTACTATAGGAGATCAAAGAGTATTATACTAAACCTGGAATCTACAAAGCATTTTTTTTTCTTTGAAAGACATATAGGGTTTAGAAAACTTCTGGGATTCATCTGTAAAAGCCCCAATAGTGACGTTTTAGGGAAACACTCACATCTCAAGGTGGGAAGGATAGGAGGTAGCGTTTTGTGGGCTCCTATAGTGGTTAGGTAGTTCTCAGAAGACAGAGCTGGAAATTAGATAATTGCTGATGTCATACTTTTCACAATAAAAAAAAATGATGTCCAGGGGCTATAAAAGCAATAGCTTCTACCTGTTCCATCATAAGCAGAATCTCCGAAACAGGTAAGTGTTTCAGCAAGCTGATACAATTGGTCTGTTAGGTGTGATACTTCTGGACTAATTTGTTTCCCTCATGCTGTCTTTGCCTCCTCTTCGCCTCACACCAGGTTCTCCTTTCCTAGTCGCTACTCAAGTTATCAGCAATGGCTGCCCTGCAGAAATCTGTGAGCTCTTCCCTTGTGGGGACCTTGGCTGCCAGCTGCCTCCTTCTCATTGCTTTGGCAGTGCAGGGCGGAGCAGCGGTGCCCATCAATGACCACTGTGGGCTCCACAAGTCCAGCTTCCAGGGGCCGTTCATCATCAACCGCACCTTCCTACTGGCTGAGGAGGTACTCATCTCAACCTTGCTGTCTTTCTCATCCTATCTCCTTGGGACCCAAATAGTTCTTAAAGTTTCCCTTTTTTAGTATTTCTTTCTTTCTTTCTTTTAATTTCTCTTCCCCTCATATTTTTATTGGAGCATTATGATTATGCACAATAGTGGGATTCATGGTTACATATATTCAGGCATACACCCAATATGACCACGTCATTATTCCACATTGTTCTGAACATTTTATTTGAGCATTTCTGAGATCTTTAGGAATTCATCATTTATCCCTACAGATAACCTTGTATGTCTCTTTGGAGACTATTTGAAGATTTAATTTTTACCAGAACTCCTTCCTTCCATTTTGGCCTTAGGATACATACTTTGAGTTTTATCCAAGGAGGAGTTGCTTTGTAGCCCATCTGATTATTAAGTTTTTCCTTTACTCCTTTGTGCATTATTCAAAGCTCATGTATACATCTATCTTCAGTTTTTATATATGCTCTGGGGATAGGGCAAGGTGTACATCTCCACTTACAGACCTTTTTTGTATATCTTCCATGTCCCGACACTCAGTCTTTCTTCTCTTCCAGGCCAGCTTTGCAGATAACAACACAGACGTCCGTCTCATTGATGACAGACTCTACCAAGGAGTCAGTGTAAGTTATGGTTATGATGAGCAGAGTCTGGGGCCCATTGGTGGTTAGCTGGTGGATGGGTCTTCTGGTTGCCTCCTCACATGATCCTTACTGTGTCTTTTCCACCTGCAGATGAAAGAGCGCTGCTATGTGATGAAGCAAGTGCTGAACTTCACCCTGGAAGAAGTGCTGCTCCCCAACTCAGACAGAGCCCTCCCCTACCTTCAAGACGTGGTGTCCTTCCTGGAAGGTCTCAACAACAATCTCAGACTCTGTGTAAGTCCCTGCCTCAGCTTACCTCCACCTACTCCTGGCCACCTCCTTCCCTCCTTCTACCACTGAGAGCCTGCTCCCCACCAGCCCTCTCTCCTTCCTGATCCCTGGGCTTAACTGCCTCGGCACCATGGTCATCAGGAATCATTTGGAATTGCAGAGGGTTAGCTTTTGCTTTAATTGAGTCACATTTTTAGTTTATAGTGATGCTTGGAATCTGGTAGTAAAGTGTATAGAAGCCTCATTTGTTTTTCTGTGGAAAGAAAACAACTCAGATTATATGTGGTGAGAAAGATGTTGGGAGGTGGAAGAAAAACACCTATATGTGGAAATAGATCCACTGAGTACAAGTTACTAGATGGAGGGAATGGGAAGAGAGAAAGTGGGAAGAGAAAGAGGGACCTGGGAAGCCTTAATGGTGGTGGGTAAGCAAGGGCTGCTCCCTTCTTGATATCATGACAAAATCAGAAGTGTGAGAACTTGATGCAAATTTAAAACTATGAGACATGTTGGAGAGGAGTGGGCAGAGCGAAAGGTATCTGCTGTTAAGTGAGGAGTTCCTACTGTTCACATAAGATGTTTCATATGTTGTTCTGAGCACACAGTTTTGATGAGGTGTAGTTAAAGTTTGATTCCTGTCAGAATTGGCATAAACCACTCCATTTTTTCCACAAACTTGAACCCCCAAAGGATTTCCTGACAATGAAAAGAGGTCCTCTGTAAGGGAAGTGTCTGGATTTTGGTGTCCAAGACAATTCAAGAGCTCATAAAATCTAGGTCACTGGTGAAATCTAGGTCATTGTGGGTAAAATTACCCAGAGCTTCCATTCCAGGTGAATTAATTGTCACATGGCTTGGAAGGGCATTGAGGTTCGTAAAGCTTCCGCAAAACAAAGATAAAATATTTACTCTTGGTTTCATTTTGTAGCATATCAAGGGTGACGACCGGCATATCCAGAAGAATGTGCAAAACCTGAAGGACACAGTGGAAAAGGTATTATTGATAAATATTCATATTAAGTCATTTAATAGGAGAGATAAATGTTGTTTTTCTTCTTTCCCTCCTTGTGATATTTTACTCGATATTCCTATGATCGAGTTGATAACTTAGGTGCATGAGTATATAGATACATGTCTGCATCTATAAATCAATTTCCAAATTTTTCAAATCATGAAGCTTATCAGGGAAGCAAATTATGAAACCAATCAGGGAACTTAGGTCAGATAGTCTTATGGCCAGTAGCAGAACCAAGTTGGAATGCAGGTATCCTTATTCTGCTCTCAGGTCAGCACCTATTCAGCAGCCATAGGTACTAGTTTTAGTATTATTCTGTTAGAGTCCTATTGACTCACAATATGAAGGATTGCTTTCTGTAACCCAGAAAAGTGTCAAAATTTATTTGAAGTGATTTTTGTAAGCCATTGATTTGATGCTGTGACACTTGGGAAAAAATCAACCTAGAACAATAACAAAATTACATCTAGGATGGAGTTCAGGGATCATTGATAATTATGTTTAATTATCATAATACTGTGTCCAATCACTGTTGATGGTTTCAAATAGAGTGAGAATATTAGTCATGGATCTATTATAATGAAATGGAAGTGTTCATTTCCTTAACAAACCCCTATTAAGTATCTATCTACTGTGAGTTAGTGTATATTTCTATGGTAAATAATTATGTGGCCTATTTGAGGAACAATAGTGGAAGGCTCAGACTAGCAAATATGACTCAGCCCCAAACCAGAGGAATGATTGGTGGCAGTGAAAGTGAATGCTTTTTGCAAGCAGGTGTACCTGAATACTCAGACACAGGAAGGCTCTAGTTGATGAAATTTTCAGTAACTCACTTAGCCTCAATTCCCCCCTTTTCTATCATAATTATTTTTTAGAAGAAATTTCTTCCTAAGCATAATTTATCAAGCATGACTGTTTGCATTCCTTTGATTACTGAAAGCTTTGTAGTTTTTCGCTGTGAAGCTGGAATCTCTTGTTATAGAGCTGTTACCTAGACTTGTAGGGCTGAATGTTAGCATGCCACAGAGAACACATGCTTTGTGATTCTCATTTTTAAAACCCCTGATGTCAGATTGCTTTGTGGTCTTTAGAAAAGTGAGGTGTGTGTGAGAGAGAAATCACGTGGGAGGTGAGATCTGTATAAGAAAACAAAGGATTTTTTGAAATCCTTTAATCCATGTGGGGAGAACCAACTTTCATTTTTACAATGGGTTGCCATGTGAAAAAGTGATGATGCTTTTTTTCTCCCTGTAGCTTCAGAAAGCACATAGGCAAGAGAGAAAATGTTATTCAGAGAGAGTTCAACAGGAGGAAAAACTGATCAGAGCTATCTGAAATGGGAGGGCAGTCGTGAGTGGAGGGGAAAGCAGAGAGCAGACCATGATAGCACAAAGGGCAGACAGCAGGTCAAGATAAGCCACGAAATTCTTAATGGTCTTGGTTGGGAGTCTTTGAGATATAAAAAAGTATTATGTCAAACAAAATATGGAAAACTAGCAGGGGGTAAGAAATCAGGAAGATAAAGGAGAACAAAGTATAGAAGACCATGATGACAAGATTTTTCTTCAAATAATCTGGAACAAATTTAAATTTCAGAGGAGGAGGCTTTGGACTTGAACTTGGATTTTCTTTCCCATTGAGTTTGAAAGCCTCATCTGTCTTCTACTTGAAATGATGTTAACATCTATATATCTGGCTTTTTATTTATTAAGGCAATTGGAAATAATATAATTGATATTTTCCCCACGTAAATGAAAATCTGTTTTTTTCCAAAAAGATATTTTTTAAAGATGGACACAATATCTTTACTTTATTTATATTATTTATTTTTATGTGGTGTTGAGGATCGAACTCAGTGCCTCACATGTGCTGAATTATGACCCCTTTTGTCAAGAAGAGGGAACAGAAAGCCCAAGTGCTTGTTGGTACACATGTGGTTTTGATTTGAGGCTGTTTGAGCTGAGTTGTAACTGATTGCTCACAGAGAGTTGGAGGCCATGTGGCAGGCAGGTCAAGCCATGATGGACAGAACTCGGGTTCCTAGATCCCACTGTGGCTTCAATGTGCTTAGTCTGGTTAGGAGCCATACAGCCCTCTGCCCAGCATTCCCTGACCCTCATTAGCATTTTATTTTATTTATTTTTAATTGACAAATAATTGTTGTGTAACTTATGAGTTACAATGTGATATTTTGATCTACCTGTATATTGTAAAAGATTCAATCAAACTAATTACCATATCCATCAATAGTTTCATTAGGGGGACATGAATGAGATGGTTAGCTATTGGTGCCTTCTCAGTTCAGATAGCCATCATTTTAAGGTCTTTGGCAAATCATATTATACTCAGGCTAAAAGGTTAATATTATCATTTTCAAAAGGCTAAATCCTGGTTTCTGTTTCTAGCAATCTAATCACTCTATATCCCTTTAACTAGTTCCTCTTTAGGAAACATGGCAAAAATGCTTAAATACATTTGTGTTCTTATTTTCACAGCTTGGAGAGAGCGGAGTGATCAAAGTAATTGGAGAACTGAATTTGCTATTTTTCTATTTGAAAAATGCCTGCGTCTGATGGAGTAAAATTTGAAAATGAATAGCTTGCCTGCTAAAAATAACAATAAGATTTCTAAAGGAACTTTTTTACTAAAAGGAAAATGGGAAGCCAAATTCTACCATTGTTGGTGAATTCCACATGAAACCCTACTTAGCTCAAAAGAAATATCAACCATTTTTTTTTGTCAGAAGACCAGAGGTAGACCTTGCACGCATACAGATTTATTTGATAACATTTTGTTATAACTGGTGTTTTATACAAGAGAAAAAAAATTTAATTAATTGTCTATTTCCAAAAAAAGATTTCTTCTCATTCCTTTAGAAAAAATTCTAAATAATTGCATTTCCATAATCAATACTTTATATTTATAAATTTATTTATTATTATAAGAATGCATTTTATTTATGCCATTTTATTAATATGGATTTATTTATAGAAACTTTATTTGAAATGTTACTGAGTATATAAGGCTAATATTCATATTTATGACAGTAATTATGGAGCTATAATATGTTTGACTTCAATAAACACATGGGTATTATAAGTATTGTGGCTTTGTGATTTTTCTCTTTTAATACCACCAATATCATCATGATCTCCATCATCTGATTATTCTCATGACTTTATCCTTGACTCAAATAATGACCAATATTATACTGCTAAAATTTGGATCTGGAGTGTCTCTGAAAGACCACTGTATTAAAGACTTAGTCCCAGGAGAGTGCTATTGGGAGGTGGTAGAATCTTTACAAGGTAGGGTCCAATGAAAGATCTTCACTGGGGGTGTGCCCTTGATAGGGAGAGTGGGGCTGTGTGCTCCCCACTATAATGTTGCCTTGCCGCAGGCCCAAATGCAATAGGGCCAATTGACAGAGCACATGGTCTGACACCTCCAAAACTGTGAGCCTTTTCTGTTTATGAGTTAATGATCTCAGGTATTTGTTATAGTGATAAAAGCTGGCTGATATGTATCTCCATTTTACACATGAGAAAACCGAATGAGGGACATGTTAAGAGATACATTATAACTATAATAGTTGACCTTTATTGAGGCAGGTTTATCTGATTTTAAGGCCTATGTAGATTTATTTTGTTGATTCAGCATGTCATTCTGAAAGTAAAAGGTAAGACACCGAAAAAGAACTCATCTGTGTCATTAGCAGTTTGTGGATAGAATAAAGGAGTGATGTGGCTGGGGAGAAATACATGCAGCCTCTCTTGTGGTAGAGGACCTGGTTTATTTCTAGGTCAAGCCCATTAGGGAGGGTATTCTTCAGTCTTCCTGTAAACAGGCAATAAGAAAATGGGGACTATGTTGGGGCGCCTTTCTTACTAGTGAAGTTTAGTACTGCTAGAGAATTCTCATAGAGGAAGATAAGCAGAATAAAACACACACAGAGGGAAAGCCGTACATCTTCACAATCTGTACAATGGTACAGAGCAAAGGCAAAGATAAAGGTTGGACTAGATCTATCTAGAAGAATGGAGAAATGGCACCGTCATTGAAGAGCCATTCCCTGTTAATAGGTCTTTTCATAGAAGGTTAAGGTCAGTAGTCAGAAGAGGTCAGTGGACAGCTGTCTAAAGAGCTTTCTTCTCCCCCCCCCGCAAAAAAAAATCAGAATTTGTGAAATTATTCTACATATCATTCATGAGTGGCTTGCCAAGTTTCTGCAGATTAGGTCAAACCTGGTGGTGAGAAGTAAGCATGCAGGTGAACAGAAAGCTGACTTGTGGATAAAATGGAGTTAATGCTTCTGGGTTTGGGCTCCAAATGTTGAGTGATAGATAACAATGTGGAATACCTTTGGGGTTGATAAAATTATCATGATTTCTGGGATAAACTGATATTTAGAACTTTTTCCTCTCCCCTTGCGAAGAGGCCTAGCGCAACAATGTTTTGAGCAAAATTTGATATTGTATTTTTTTTCCAAGCCAATCTTCTAGAAAATGAGCCAGGATTGAAAGAATATTCCTAAAATTGGAAGGTTTTTTTCTACAAGACTTGAAGAACCTTTCTATGCTAGAGTCAACCTTGGCTTCTCCTTCCAGCCTTGCCACATTGTATGTGTTAGAAATCCCTTCTGCTCTAACTCCAAAATAAAGGTTGAATTTTCTCATTCTCTCAATGGCTAAATCCTCCCTAAGTCACTGTTATCTCTCTGCTGCATTATCCTAATAGCTTCTAAATATCCTCCTACTGTTTATTTTCAATCCAATAGTACAAGTAAACTTTAAAAACGCAAAAAAAGTTTAGACTGGGCACTTCCTGACTTCCCCAAATAGCTTACCATCATGCCAAGAATGAAATCCAGTGCACTCATCATGTCCCCACCTCCTCCCCAACCTCAAGGTCTACCATCCTTACCCCTGCCTACAATGCTCCAATCACACAGCCTCCTTCCTGGTCCTGCCACACATCAGTCTCGCTCCTGCCCAGGAGTTTCACACACATCTGCTGGTTCTATGCCCAAACAACCTTCCCTCAAGTATTTCACAATCATTCCCTCCCTTCTTTCAGGGTTCTCCAAGTGCTACTTCGTCAGAAAGACCTATCCTGACAACCTTATCAAAAATTCCCTCCTCACCACCTTCACTTCCTCATCATCCCACTTCATCTTTCTTTAGTTTATTTACTACACATAAACAAAATTATTTATCCACTTTGGCCATCCACTTAATTTTCATTGTGTCCTTATTGAATGCTAACTTTGTGCTATGGGATATGGTGATGAATACCAGATGGACAAAGCCCCTGTCCTCATGGAAATTGTATTCAAATGCAAATACAACAGAAGACATGAAATATAATACATGCCCTGAAGAGTGCTAGGAGAAAACACAAGGGCATGGGGGATACAACCTGGAGATTACTTTAGACAGGGAGACCAGGAAGGGCCTCTTGGAGGGACAGACGCCTGAATGCAGGAATGAGCCACGTGACTGGGGACATAGCAAGACATAGGCATTGAGTTGGGGCAAGTCTGGGGTGTCCAGGAAATAGCAAGAAAGTTGAGACTGGAGCTGGATGGCTGGGGACAAAGCTGAAGATGTGACCAGAGAGCTGCTGGGGACCAGGTGTGTAGGGCTTTGTGGGCGAGGGCAAGGCTTTAGATTTTGTTCTAAGGCTGATGAGAAGCCACTGAAGGGATTTCACCATGGGAAAATCCTGATATGACTCATGTTCTATCAAGATCACTCTGGCTGCTGGTAGAGGGTGAATATAGGAGGGAAAAGAACCAAAGAACAGAAGCCAGACCAGGGTAAGAGCCCTGGAAACAGGTATGGATTATATTGGAATAGATGGGAATTGGGGCCAAACAAAACTGATGTGTGATCATTACTCCAATACTTGGCATAGACTGCCTGATAAATCAGAGTTATTTGTGGATCATATTCATTATCAGGAAATTAGTTTTCCTTCTGGTTCCTCACTTATACCATATTACTTATTAGCATACAGTGCTTTATATGGAAGTTGAAGTAAAGATAGGTGATTTTGTTCTGAAAAGTGGTTAAGATTTTAGTACTGTAGTGAGTACACTTAAATGAGAATGAAGTTACCAAGGATTGAAGGCTAAGGTCTTATTGTTCTTGAGGCCACCATAGCCACTGTGAATTTATCTTTAAAATTTACTTTCAAAGAATGTTCATCACTGGAAAACAAGATGGAGAAGGTTGAAATGAATGGTCCTGCTCACCAAGGGGAAATTGTATTGCTGTTGTACCACGAGGGCTAGGTGGACCATAGGGACTCACTGCATTGTCTTGTAATAACGTCTTGCCCAACAGTCTTGTTAATGGAGAATTGCATTTGCTCCAGAGGCAGAATCATCAAGCACTCCATTTCTACAAGAATGAGGATTTAAATCCATGTGAAGAGTCCTCTCCAACTGCGGTGCTAGGTAAAGGGTGGAGGAGGAAGGAGTTTGTACTAAGTCTTGTGAACAGTTATAAAAGTGGAAACTGTAGTACATATACTTTCTATTAATTAATTGTCCTTTCTTCTCTCCCCCACTCCTTAAATGAAGAATATTTGTGGTTGCCTAATATTTTAGATTTCAGGTGAGAATATGATTATGTTGATATCATTTTATAATGATATGGTGGCTGATAAAATCCTATGTGTTTCCTGTGTTGGGGACATACATTTTATTTTCACCCGGAAAAAGTTAAGACTGAGTGCTGATGACCAAAGAGATGGATTGTTCCCATCTGGCCCTCCACTTTCATACTCTCTCCTCCCCAGTCGGCTTTGTGCCCAGAGACTGGAATATAGATTGCCTTACATGCAGGCTTGCTCTTTCTCTCTGGCTTTTTTTTGTATTTGGTCAATGGGAGAAGTTAGGAAATTGAAGAGTGGGAGGAGAATAAGGTCAGGGTATTTATTCCTCGGAGCCCTCCTGCTGGGTTGCCATTCAGGTTAGCTGTACATTTTTCTGAAAAACCAAGGATCCTTGTAGCTAGCCTTTCTTCAGTAGTTCTCTGTCTCTCTTTTTTTTGGGGGGGGTTCTGGAAACTGCTCTCAACTTGGGTCCCAATTGTTTGCCCAATGGCATTGCACTATTTCTTGTTGTACTATTCCTTCTACATCTTGAAAAAAAATCAGCTCCTTATTAAACTCTTCTTTGAGTGTGCAAATGTCTTCTACTGGGACTCTGACCTATATATCTTCTTCTCCCTTCCATTCTTCCACCTATTTCCCCACCCCCAGCATTAGGGGATCTGGATAAGATTATTTATAGACAAAAACTAAAGCCTGATTCTGATATACCTGAGTTTTAGTAAATATTTGGTCCTGTAATAAAACAAATGTGAAACAAGAACAATTTGGTTTTTAAGATGAAAGTGCATCATTTAATAATGTTCCTCCCATTTGTCCAACAGTTTCCTTCACAAGGATATAGAGGGGTTTAGGTCAATGTGCACCACTACTTAAATGAATCTAAAAAAATCTTCTTCCCCTGGCCACAGGAGTGCTCTTGCACCTTTCTGTGGTCACACTTCCCTTCCTGCTGCTCCCTTGGGCACACTCGGGCGTCTTTGTTGAAGTGGGGTTATGCCAGCTAGAGGATAGCAGAGTTATTGCCCTGAATAATTCTGACCCCTTCAATCTTGCCTTTTGGCTTTTTCTTCTATGTGGCTTTCCTTTTCCTTTTTCCTGTTACAGCTGCTAAAGTTATTCAGGGTGACTGTGTCTGCCTC